AGTTATTTGGGAATTAATATAATCGTTTTTGTATGTTTTGCATCATATCCATCAACATAGGTTACATTTATTGTAAGTTGGGTATTAAATGAAGTGGTTATCTTTTAAAATTTCTTAAATTTGAAAAATTGTTACTTAAAAAATACTTCTTTTTTTTAAGAAAAATAAAATACTTATTTAAGAGCACTGTTTAGATTTGATTTACTAAAAAATAAAAACTAAAGATTATTTATAGGTCCTTTTTTATTATATATAAAGAGTTACACATAAAAGTATAACTTTATTCCCTTAAAAGAAATTTTTAAAAAATCTGACTTTGTTATTTTGATATATTAAAAACAAATATGATTACGTAAAATTGGAAAGTTATCAAACCAATGTACTGTCATAGAGTTCGAACAAATATATTTGTTAATTTCGATTTTTGTAAAACATAAATGATTCGTTCATTTCTTTTGTTAGTTATGATTCTATAAAACCAAAAATGATTACTTAACATTTAAAATTTTACTGAAAATAAAATGAGGGAAGATTTTCGCTAAACTCCCATTCAATGAACACTTAATGGTGGTAAAATTTCATGTGGCACTGACATTTACTTTGGAAATAGTAATTAGGAGAGAAAAAGTAATTTCCCTTTTCACCATTAGCGCATACTTAAAGTTTCTTCATCTCCTTCAATATAATAAAATTTGATATATTCATTCGTCTACTGATACTAAACATATTCAGTGAATACTTTTATTAGTAACTTGATACCTAGAAATATAATTTAAAAACAAGTCTATGGCACCACTTGACTCTGCATCTTGTTTCATTCAATATCGACTACATACATTAAAAATATAAATAAAATGAATGTATTGAATATTTGATCTCATGCCCATTATAGTTTATAAGACTAACAATGCAAAATTTATTATATTGTTATTTTAAAAACTAATATACTTGACTAGTATAAATATTTAATAATTCTTATTATAAGTAATATTAAAATAAGTCACGGTGGACTAAAAGTAAACTAGGAATAGCTGAAATAAAATTGAAAATTATACCAATGAAATTAATTAGGGCTCTATTGTCATAAAAATATTTAGATAATAAAATACAAAGTCTATTGTACGCACACTTTATTGTAAAGGAAGAAACAAAAGTTAAAATGGTAAGAGATATTAACATGAATTCATCATTATAAATACTCCGCATATAAGTCAAGAAGGGGTAAAAATATAACATTAGTGAAGGGCTAAAAAGAATTGAAAAATGATGCTACTAAAATAAGAATTCATTTTCAAATTATAGCCTAGAATATATACGAGAAATTGAAATATGATTTGATATTAATAAATGGGTTAGGATCCTGAATTCATTTTTCAATCTTAAATATATTAATCAAAGTGAGATATTTTGATAGCGGTTAAATTTAAAATTATTTCAATTACACACCGTCATTTACTAAGGGCTTGTTCTCGTCAGCTGATAAAAATAAGTTTTAGGTCTAATAAGTTAGATCAGTTATAATAAGGTCCAATAATAAGTTAAATAAGGTTTAATAAATTATATTAAGTTAAATAAGGTCTAATAAATTTCAATAAGTTCTAATCAAGTCTAATAATAAGGTCTAATTAGTAGGGGTGTCCATTCGGTTTTTGGTTTGAATTTATCTCAAATCAAATCCAATCCGAAATAATTTTAATTTTCAATTATAAAATCCAACCCGATCTGAATTCCTCACCAAATCCACTCTAATTCAAACCGATTTAAAATTCAGTTATTTGGATTCGATATGAGAGTGCAAATTAAAATACGTTTCAAATATTTTGGGCCTAATGCGAAAATAAAAATTAAAATACAATAATAAAAAAATTAATTCTTAAAAGTATAGTTGTACACGATTAATAAAAGTATTGAAAACGTAAGTAGGTTACATGATAAATAGTAATAATTATAATAATAGTTTAGCATGATTATATTAACAATACTTATTCATAAACTAACGATTTCATATTAAATTTATTTCGGTTTTTTTGGATTCAAACAAGGTCAATCCAATCCAATTCGAACGTCCGAATTTTCAAAAAAATTCAATCCAATCCAATTCGATTTAAAGTTCGAATCCGATCCGAATTAATAATTCAGTTTTGATTTGATTAAATTTCGAATTTTAATCCGAATGATGGATACTTGTACTAATAAGGTCCAATAAGGAACAATAAGTTCAAATTAGTTTAGTAAGGTCTGATAAGTTCAATAAGGTATAATAAGTTTGACAAGGTGTTACAAAGTTCCAATAAGTTTCATGACTTTGAAATACGGTATAAGTTTTAATTTTACAAATACAAATATGATTCCTTTAAAATTAATATTAATTATTTTTGAGTTTTTAAATACCAAAATGATACTTAAAATGAAAATTTATAAAAATAAAATAAAAGATCAAAACGTGTTTCTTTATACCTCCATAAGATTCGAACACAGGACGACTATCCATAGTCATTCAAGGGGTTTGTTTATTACTAGACTAAGGAGTATCAGCACATACATTGGATGAAAACAAATTAATTTTTATAGTGTATCTATTAGACTAAATTTCCTGGCTTATGCCCATAAATAATTGATTGGACACATTATACACATAATTTACGTGCAAAACATTTAAAATAAAAAGAGTTTTTTGATTTTTTTTTTTCACTTTGAAATATGGTGTATGTTTTGACTTTATATATACAAATATGATTTCCTTAATATTATATTAATAACAATTAGTTATGATTTTTTAAATACAAAAATGATACTTAAAATGAAAATTTATAAAAAAATAAAAAGCAAAATGTGTTTCTTTTGTACCTCCACAAGATTCGAACACAAGATGACTATCCAACATAACTCAAGTGGTTTGTTTATTAGACCATTGGAAAATATTTATTTTAGAAAAACAAATAGTTATTAAAGATTAGTTATACATCTAAAAGTATATCTTTGTTCCCTTCAAAGAAATAAAAAAATTATGTTTTGTTAACAACAAGGTGTTCTCCATCTTTGTACTTCAACTTAGGATAATATACAAGCCTCCCACCCTGCCAGATTGTACACCTTATGGAATTTGAACATGTCATTCTGATCTTTAAAATGCATGTACTAAAAATGGATCTAAGAAAGAGAAAAAAAATGTGTAAAAGGGAAAAAAAAAAAGGGGGCAAAGCGGATTGGGAGGTGATGGCGGTTGGAAGTCTGGTTTACATATTCCACAACACATACCATTAGTTTTATTAATTCATTTCAAACTATAGTGTGTACTAGCATTTTAAACATGTTGTACGGAGATCTCATAGTGACACGTTTATCAAACAAGATTTTATTAAAAGAAGAATGATTCTTTAAAATAAAAAATGTTTTTAGGGGACCAAAAAAAAAAGATGATTTATCATGGTCGCAAGGTTCAAACACTGAATGCATTTGAATAATACAACATTTTGATAATATCAACACCATAGGACTAGGGGGGTATCAGCACATTCACTGGATTACATATTAATATGTATTATTAGTTGAATAGGTTCTTTTTTTATGTTTATCAAAAGAGTGAAAATTTTAACTTATTAACATACTTTTTGTTTTAAATAAAATAGTTTTTTTTTTAAATACTAATAAAAAATTATTAAATATAAATAATTTATATCTAAACGTATAACCTTGTTTCCTTCACTAACATCAAATAATTAAAAACTAAATAAAAGATATACGTATAACATTGTTTCATTCACTAACTTTTACGTTATTCTGATATTTTAAAATTAGATATGATTCTGTAAAGTTAAAAATAATTAAAAACCAGAAGAAAAAATACAATTTATGCCGTCACAGTGTTCGAACAGTGGTTTGATGTATGCACATGCAGCTTTCAAAGTTAACCATTGGACTAAGGGGTATCAGCACGTTCATTATGTGGGAAAAAAACTATATATTACAATGTTTGTAAGAGCGTCCCAACAAATCGTTTTCTTGGAGTCGATTCAAATTCCGGATCGTTTGTTTTGGGTGAATTGTAAAACATAATCTTTAACCAATTTTGCAGCTAATAATTCTAAATCTGTTTTTGTTTTTCACACTTTCACCATACTTTCATTCAAATTAGTTTATTCTTCAAATAATAATCACTACAATTCATTTTAATAATTGTAAGCCACACCACGACGGGCCGGAATATACATGAACATTACAAAAAATTCACCGACGCCGATAGGTTGTTCACCGGCAACACATTCACCCACGGCGTTCGCATTTTAACCAACACCTTATCGCACCGCCATCAATCTGTTTCACGCTGAAATTCAAAAAATCAGATTTGTATATTGTTCTTCATTTGTTATTTACACAGATACATTAGAGGGGAAACATTAGGAGAGAGAAATTAGAAAAAACGACATATGCATCCCATAAGAATCCTAAAAATTGAAATGTTAAGTTAAATCAAATATTTTATTTACATTTTATTCATTGTTCTTCATTCGTTATTTACACAGATACATTAGAGGGGAAACATTAGGAGAGAGAAAAAAAATTAGGAGAGAGAAAAAAATGAGGTCAAAAAATCTGATTTTTTTTTTGGGATTATATTACATTAATTTGGGTAGGTGAAAGGATAGATAAATTTGAAATTCAAAAGTTAAAATTTAAAAAACAAGTTTGAAATTCAAATGAAAATGAAGGTGGCCCACAAAAAAAGAATATTCTCAATCAACCAATAGGAAACTTGTGCACAGGATTCCTTTTGTACACTAAGTGTACCTTAAATTGCTCCCTCCTTACTGAGTAAAAGTATCGTGCATCAGATTTTTTTTTTTATTTTTTTTTTTCTTTTGAAGAAAAAACAAAAGACAAAAAAAAAAAAAAATCAGTGTTCCTAAGAATCAACAACAATTAAAACTTCCAGTAAAAGAGGTATCCAACTTTTATTCCTCACTTCTGATTTGTAACATAAATTACAGAGTATAAAAATATATCCTAAACTTTTCAGATGTCTCTTTAAAGTATGGCTAAACTCTAAGATACAAATCTATTCCTATGGAAAAATAAATGAAAAGAAAAATACACACCTTGTTCTACATTGCTTTTGTTTTCATTTTCTGTTCTGTGCTTAATTTAAAACAGACTATATTTTGTGTTTCTATTTCTTAAAATACATATTAAAAAGAGCTATCATGTTGATGAGTACACAATAAATTAAGCCACCCCTTGTGCTTATTTTGTGTCTGTGCCAGTCTTGAGTCCTCCTTCTGCAGTAAGAACTACCTGCTGATGATCGAAAGCACACGGACTAGCCCAGTGGTGAGTAGCAGATAATCATGTACAGGCCTGACATCTGAGATTGTATCAAATTGGTTTATTTTTGGCCAGCATTTGCTTAATTCACTCTTGATGATAACTTAGACACATATGCATTAACGCGCATCCCTTTATGCTGCTCACACCTCTTCCTTCCTTTCACTGGCTGCCTTTCACAGCATTTTCCATCACCCAAATTCACTCCACAACAGTCTGCAGGGTCGGGATCAGATAAAGGATTTTCAATAACAGACTTAAATATCAGAGACTTGGTTATTTGGTTAACTCTCATACCTTTATGCTCCTCACATCTTTTCCTACCAGGAGAGGGTGACTTTGTACATGGAGAACTATCAAGTAAAATTACACCACAAATAGAAGAAAACTCGTCGTTAACAAAATTTTCTACCTGAGAGTTATTAGTGCTGGAGTCCTTTGTCATGATTTTTGAGTTGATTGATGCACTAGTCAATCTTCTTCCTTTGTGCTCGGAACAACGTTTTCTTCCTTTAAATGGTGAATTACTACAAATTGTTCCATCATTTAAAATCACTCCACAAATGTGAATTTTATTGGTGTCCTCAGCATTGGCCTCAGGATTAGTAGAAACTAATCGTGGTTGTGAACGAGAAAATTTGAAAACTCGATCAAAGAGGTTGAAATTCTTGTCATAAATATCATGACCTGGTTTGTTGCCAAGTGAAAACTTCTCTGCTTTGATTAGGATGCCTACTTTTTGCTCTCTGAAAGATTGTAGCATCTTCAGAATCTTAGGGATTTTAATGTTTCGGGATGAAATCTTCTCCATTTTAGTTAGAACATCATTAGGACGGCGTGCACCATTTCCAGCTTTGTTCCATGCATAATCAAATCTTTCAAGCAGCTTAGCTTCTGTTCTCTCAGCATCACTTTTGCTCTTCATCTGTTTCACGGTTCAACCAAGAAGCAAACCATTCATAACAAGGAATACCACCTTTAAGATTGCAAAAAGCACTGGGAAAAATTATAGCATTTTTCTTACTTATCCATTTAGGGATAAAATCATAAAATACATATCTAGAGATGCAATGCAGGGATTATCATCCACATATAAACACTGAAAATCATAGAATCGAAATCTAACAGACTGGAGGAAGCTATTAAATCTGAAAGATCTATGCTAATATAATTTCTCACAAGTTTGTCTTATCAGCAAAATACACCAGGAATTCTTCCCCTCTTTACCACTCTAAGTCTTTGTCTACATGAACTGCCCAGGAATTCAGCATAAACTCTGGTTTTCTGGTCAAAACCAACCAGAATACTATCCAAATTCTTTACTGCCATAAAGTACCATGACGGAGCATACACTCAAATTTGGATAATGCTATCTTCACTCTTCAGCAATTTGTAGCATTGAAAAGGGATTTTCAGCTTGCAAATTAAAGTACTAAACCTACACTTTTTACAAGAAATTATTCTACCTCAATTAAAAACTGAAGCTAAACACACCAAAACTAGACGTTAAATTTGGGTGAGATAAACCTCTGCAGCAGTTGTGGTAGCAGCAACCAGCTAGCTAGGAGGGGTTGCAGCAACAGTTATGTCCATGCTGTACCCTTCTAACAAGTTTACTTTTGCTAAGAAAATATCGCAGTCTTCCTTTAAGAAGGATTTAATTTGTGATTAAGCTTAAAACATTGTATCATCCATCAAGATGGATGCACAAATACCTATGTTCCTGTTAAATGATGGTTCTTTACCATTTAGTCCCAAAGATCTTACTTTGTTGGTAATCACTAATCATTTTGAAAATACTCATACACACCAATGTATTACCTATCAAGCATTCTACCAATAAGCTAGCAAAGTAGGGTACTTTGTAGACGTCGTCTTTGGAGCAAATATTTAAAGGCCAGGGTTGAGTGAATTCAGTGAACTTATGTTATTGCTTAAACTATAACAGATAGAAATTGCTACCTAAGAATCAATTGCCTTTGTTCTGTCTATTTCAAATGTAATTCTGATCATATTGAAGTGTTCAGATTCATTCTACCACAAGATTTAACAGCAGTCTATCACTTTTGGTCCTCCAATACTCGTACTTCACACTCAAAAGTCGCAAATAGCTAAAGTAGCAGCACACAGTTCTATCAGTTTTTTTCTCACCGATATAACCAGAATTGTCCTCTGCCCAACAGATCTGCAAGAGGGTCTTGCAAGTATGAAGGTCATGCATTACTTTGATACACAATTTAGTACCAGTGTTCCTTTGGAATGGTAAAAAAAATGTGGGAATGAGCTTAGAAATTTGCATCATGTCTGGTGCAAAATCTTGTTTGGGACGAATGAATGTTCTAAACTAATTTTCTTAAGTCCCATAATAAAGGGCAAATAACTCAATGATTCAAAACCATCTAAAAATATTGGTAATCTTTCTAAGTAAATCCCTTTCACACCTATTGCACTATGTACATTCGAGCTACCGCCATGAACTGGTGATACAGCCAACTTTATGACAGCTTGGAACAAATTCCGAAAGACCAAGGTTTAGTGAATGGCTTTTACTATAGCTTGAACCTAGAGCTACTCAATCTAGAGAATGTGCGGCCTACGATCCGACATTACTCAACATAAAAATTCAGGATTTTTGATCAATTAAATCTATAGATTTAATTTTGAATAACATACTAACTAATCTACTACTCATTTTTGGCATAAGTTTGCTTCTGCATGTATACAGGTGCACTCTTTTCACCTAAACTTATATAAATTGAACCTTTGGTTTTACCTCAAGTTTACTTGATTCCACCTTAAGTTTACAGAACCTAATTAGCCTTTTTAACTTATTCGTATTTATCATTCAATATACTACAATTTTAACAACATTAATATTTTTGTCTCATGATGGCCACATATTATTACAAATTCCACTTGGTAGGAAAAAAAAAATCCCCATTTGCTACAAATTATTCTCTACTTTTGCATGAATTTGCTACAAATTTTTTAAGTAGCTATCTAAGCAAAAATTGAAATCCAAAATCTTCATATTTCTTTAACAATTTGACAAAATCGAAAAACCCTAAAAAAAATTGAATTGGGCTTTTTTCTTTTTTGTGAATATCTGATCAAATTCTTATGAAGATTTGATCAGAATTAGTACTCTAGTGTTTGGTTTGATGGGTCGGGCCAAGACAGGGCAAAGCTAATAAGCGAAGGAAAAGGTTCAATTTAATACAAAACAAAACAAAATTCAAGATCTATAATTAATCTTCTTGACCTTTGCACCTAACAAATTCATATATAAAAAAAAAAAAAAAAAGGGAAATCCTCATTGATAGCAACAAACTATTGCACATTCTCATTGGTAGCAAATTTTTTTTAAAAAATCTCTTAAATAGCATTAGTAATCTAATTACTCTCTAATATAGCGTTATTTTACTAAAACTAACATAATTAAATTAATTGGACTAACCATGGTTACATAATATGGAATGGATTAAAATACCCCTTTTAATTTTGTAAATGCACCCCCATTGATCAATTAAAAAAGGCTCATTCATTGAAGACTTTTGCTGTTCAACACTTTCGAACGTAGTTGTGCTGCTGCGTTGATGATTTTCGAGCGCTAAACAACAATCATCAATCTACCAATTTCAATCCTAATCTCTCCAAGGTGCTAAATTCTCACTTTTCCACCATCGCAACTAGCTTAATTCGCAACATATAAATTACAGAGAAGAAGAGGAAGAAGAAGATGGAAGTTAGAAAAATTGGGGAAATAGGAGTTTTATATAAGAACCCTAGTTTTTGAGGGAGGGAAATCGTTTTAATTGTGTTGGAGGGAAATTATGTAACCATGGTTAGTCCAATTAACTTAATTACGTTTTTTTTTTTTTGACAAAATTAACTTAATTATGTTAGTTTTAGTAAAATAATGCGATAATTAGATTACTAATGCTATTTAAGAGATTTAAAAAAAAAATTTGCTACCAATAAGAATGTGCAATAGTTTGTTGCTACCAATGAGAAATTCCCCAAAAAAAAAAGGAAAATCAATAAAACAGTGGAAAAATCTTGCATGAGCCCAAGAATTAAAATTTGTAGAATCTTGATACATTGAACAATAATTTTGGACCCAAACCCCAATTAAAAATAAAAAGTTGCCAAAAAAAAAAAAAAAAAAACCAAGAAACAACAAATAAAAATGACTAAAAACAAAGAATTAAAATTTGTACAATTACTTACAGGAGCCCATCGATAAACAATAGGATAGCCTCGAGAAAAGATCTCCTTAAATAACCCAAAACCATTAATCAAATGTGATCCATTACGCCCATAATCTTGAAGCCTAGACCTCACATTATCAGCTTGTCCCAAGTACACCACAACAATAAACTCGGTATCGAGTTTCGAAACATCACGGCCCGAATCAGAGTGACAAACCGCAACTCCAATTTCATACAATCCAGGATTACAAATTGGTGGGAGGTTAGCTACTCTGTATCTTTCTGCCCCTTCTTTTTTTGCCTCATAATTAACCCAATCTGATGGACCGATTAGGATTTTCCATTTTGAGAAGGCGGTATCGTGTTTCGTCTGTCGGTAATTCTCCCTCTTTAGCCTTGGTGTGGTGGTGGAGGGAGTGGTGAGGCCTTGAGGCTCTCCTCCCATTTTTTGGAGGTGTGTTTAAAGAAATAACCGTTAAAGTTTAGGCGGCTTTTATAGTTGTAGTTCAATAATTTGATTTATTTTTGTTTTATTTATTTATTTATTTATTTTTGTTTTGGGACAAGGTTGCCCATGTGAAAATGTTACAAATTGTGTGGTTGAATTTTATTTTAATGATTTTATCTCTTTCCCTTTTTATTTCTTTTTCCATTAAAAGGAGATTCGATTATACTTCTTTATGAAGTATTTGCTTTATGGGATTTATTTCTTTGATTTGATCCCTTTTAGGGCCATTATACCAAAATAACAAAAAGCTTACTTGATTTCACGCGGTCACACGTCATTAACGTTTACTTGATTTGATTCCTTTAAGGGCCATCACACCAAACATAGCAAGAACTCGAATTTACTAAGGCATAATTGGCCTCAACACTCTGAACTATGACTTAGGTACATTCAGTATCATATACTTTGTGTAGTAGTCAAAACGCAATAAACTAATGAATTGGGTGCAAAGTGTAAACACAACTTGATACAATTCAAACCTGGAAGTAGAGGTATCAAAACCACACCCGACCGACCCAATTTGAAACTGACTCGAAAAATATCCGTTTCAGATTTCAAATCGCGTGGACATAATACTTTAATATGACTCCACTTTTAAAATTAACCCGACCCGACCTCATCAGACCTGATCTGAACATCCGAAGTGACACCTCCACCTGAAAGTGAACCAGACATAAATTTGATTCGATTTAGTTCGGCCAGCAAATAAAGGGTAAACCAGCGATCTGACATAATTCAAACTTAACTTTACCCAACCCAACTTGAAAACCCAATAATGAGACGTTGTATCTTAGTGACATTGTATCTTACGAAGTACATAACATTTGTAGATACCAAAACGTGTCTCCCCAAAATAAAGCCCAATAATGAGTACATTATAGTTTAATATGGTTTGGGACTTTGGGTTGAATAATGAACTCGATGGTTGCTTGAATAAACTTTTGTTCTAACCCAAAGCCATTTTATTTAAGCCCATCAGCCATTTAAACCTTTTTTTTATATTATTATTAATTTAGCCTAAAATCTTTTGTTTTGCCCATAATCCATACACCTAAAGCCAATTTCTTTTTCTCATAGCCTTAAGCCCTTAATCCAAAACAGTGAAAATTGTGGTTTACACCCGGGTGTACGGTGCATCCAAGGGTATTATTTTCTTATTTCGATGATTATGGCTCATTTATCATCAAATGAGAAAACAAATATCTTTGGGTGTACCGTACACCCGGGTGTACATAACAACCTCTCCAAAACAGAGCTAACCTAAATTTTGAATCTTATAAGCTTAGACGGATAGATAGCCGTTGAAATCGCAATTTCAGTGATAATTCATAACCTCAATTATGACTTAAAATGAAAGAGATATGACTAAAATACCAAATAACTGAGCCTAAATCCGACACTCTTGTACTAGTTTAGCCAAATATTGGAATCTACAAAAGATATTGATCGTATTCTAGTTTGATTAGAAAGTAGACTTGAGCTTTCCAATGATATATTAGCCTTATTTAATTTTGAATTCAGAATCAAAAGTTATGAACATTTTAAAATTGGCAACTTCTGTAGACCGCGAGACACGCAAGTCAAGTTGCGTAACACGCGAATCCCATGTGTGTCTCACAAATTTCTAAACTTTTCAATTTTTTTACTACTCGTGAATGGTTTAGGAGGCATCAACCATCACGGAGCCGGAGCCCCTAACAAAAATAATAAGTCGTTCTTGATCAATTTCCAATTTACTTTCAATCATAAAAATTCCATATTCAAATAAGTTTTATTAAAATAATCAACGGTTTTTTTCACCACATATCCCTGAGTTTGTTTATTCATCATATACTCATGAAAATTTTCAAATTCGTCATATACCCCTAAATTGTTAAAGTAATTCATTATATACCCCTAATAAAAATAAGATAAGTGAAATTTGGTTAAATATAACTCGAAATCACTTTAGATCTCTCCCCCTCATTCCAAAACCACTCCTCTCCTTTTTTCAGCCACTGAAACCACTCCAAAACTCTATAACCATATCCATATGATTGATTTTGAGGATAAGAAAAGAAAATTTAGGGTGGTTTTAGGGGTGAGAAAAGGAATGTGGATGGTTTTCGGGGGTTGGGAAATGTATTTAGGGTGGTTTTGGTTCATAATTAACTCTAATGATTGACAAAACTAACAATCATTAGTCATCACGAGTATATGGTGTATTTTTGTGAAAGCTCAGGGGTATATGATGATTTTAAAAATAGTTTAGGGGCATATGGTGAATAAACAAAAAAACTCAGGGGCATATGGTGAAAAACCCGAAAAATCAAAGTTCTACCTCCGTCTACAAAATAAAAGTCAAAATATAATGTTTTCAAATCCAAAATGGAGATAGCAAAGGATGCCAACCTTTCATGAAGTTTTTTTCAATCGGAATTTTAAAAAGATTTGGTTCAATCGCTTGAGTTACTTCGTTTAGAGACAACAAGTTCACTATCTTATGCTATCACATTGTCAACTATTACAAGACAAAACTTTTCCCACAATCAGGCTATCATGTCTAACTCTAATTGAGCAATCCTTATGAATAGCTAAAACACGTTATATTACCAAGAGTTTTTTGTCACTTAGCCGAGAGTAACAAAATAAAAGTAAACATGTGGATGATCAATCACCTTAATACCTAAAGTTTGTAAGGATGATATTCAAAACATGAGTTCAAATCTCATTTATATAATTTATCTTTGTCATCTCTACAACCAAAAAAATAAACATAAAAATTCTCAAAAATAAATTTTGAATCAATCAATTATCTTCGAATCACACACTCCTTGTTTTAGTAAGAAATAATTTTCTTATACCAAATAAAGTAGAAAGATCAATTTAGTCCATAGTTAGCTAAAATAGCATGAAAACATTAGCTTAATGAGAAAGAACATGGAACAAAGTGGGATTGTCACCGTGTCAGTGGTCCCACAAAAAAATTCTCAATAATTTTGATCTTACCTGTTTATGGGATCAATTTCATTGTCATTATTACAAATCCAAACTTCATTAAACTTCCATACATCAAATTTGTCTAAGCTCTCTTTTTTATCCTCTTCTTTTTTCCTCAATTTCTGCTCCAAGAACATTACCCCTTTTAACATCTTCTTTACCCCTTTTTGTATTTAATCATGCAATAAAAGTTACTTCAGAAAAAAATGTAGAAATCATGACATTTTATTGATTTCCCCAAAACCCCATCTCATTTTTTGCATCATTACTCATGCTTTTGCTGCTCACTGTTCAAAATAACAGAAATTTTTTTCTGTTAAAGCTGAAATAACAGAGAAAATTCATTGTTTTTGATGTGGGTTTTTCTGGGTTTGAGCTAAAATTGGGGTTTTAGTGAAGATTAAAGAGGTTTAGGGTTGAAGAAATTAAGATGAATTCGAATCAGAAGAAGGTGGTTGTTATAGTTGCTGTGAAAGCTACAAAAGAAATTCCAAAAAATGCAATGGAATGGGCTCTTGCTCATGTTGTTCAACCTGAGAATTGCATTAAGCTTTTGGTGGTAACTTCTCCTCAAAATTTTGGTAATTTTTCTTCCATATTTTTATTACTTTTCTTTTTCAGTTTAATTTATTGCTGTTAAGTTTGTTTCTATGATATTTTATTTTTGCTTATTGGGTGTTTTTAATTGAATAATATGCTCTTGTTGGTTTTAATTTTGTCTAACTTATTTTCATCCTGTTTGTATGTAATCATCACTATTATACAATATTCGGGTTTAATTTATTTTGCGAATTGTAGTTCTTGTATTAGACGGTCTAGGGACTAAATTGCCTTAGTACCTGCTGGCTGCTGCTGCTGTAGTAGTACTGCCTCTAACTAGAATTAACTCATAGTGTATGAACATGATGAGGGCTCACTTCTAGAGTGGGTTTTCGGGAGGAAGTCATGATTAATTTGCTTTTGCAGTGCTTAAAGCGTTTGAATTAGCACTTTTCTCGTTTTGAAAGTGAAAAGGGAACTGTTTTCCGCCGCTTTTGGTTGTTTTTCTGCTTTAGAATTGGATGTCTTTCCTAATTTGATCCCTTTCTGGCCGGAAATAATCATAGGTTAATAGGCAGTTCAGAAGGTTTAAGGGATATTAGTTGAACCAGAGAATATAGCATTAAAAATCTTCTCGTCTCAATAGCAATAGGTTTCGAATTTAAATGGGTGTTCCCTTCAGTATATCAGTATATGCCTTAATGTTCAAGAATGGAAAGTCAAGCACTCAAGCGTGAAGCTCTATAACTGAAGCTACCCTTTTCTTTTGATATTTTACCTCTATGTAGTGATCTTCTCTGCTTAAAGCAATTTAGCAAATCGCATCAGAACACCTTCTGAAATCTGAATTCTATACCAGAGAAAGTGCAAATGTATTCTCATGCTTATGCAATAATGTATTTGTGTAACTGCAAAACAATGTTACATTCATGGTTTTCTGCCCAATTTAGTGCTAGGTCATTAAATGTGTATTTCCTCATGGTTACATACTGCCGTTTTATGTGTAAGTCTCTGAGTAAACCCCGATATATTAGTATGAATAAACCTAATATTACTGTGCTCTTTAGCTGAGCTACCTTGCCTATTACTGGTAAGATTTTTATTAAAAATGTGCCCTTTCCTCTAATTCAAATGTTGATTTGTATTTCTCACATGAATCAGTACAACTCCTCAAGAATATAGCTGCTACTTTTTTTACATTTTCATTGCCTAGCAGTCATGGTTTTGAATTCTTGGATCAGTTGGATGAAATTTTTCCCTTTATTCTTCACATCTTTATTAAGACAGGGGTGCTGGGTGCAGAAGATTTGTACACAATAAGATTATTAAATGCAACAACAGTGTTCTAACATACCAATGAAATATAATTGTTTTCTTTATTGCTCACAGCAGTTGTCACTTGTCATTGTAAGATCTATAGGCTGACCTTTGTGCTGAAATTAGCTTGTGCATTGATAGTGACTAGTGAACTGTGAATGTACATCATTCAGGAAAAAAACTTTGGGGGCTTCAAAGGTTTACTTCTGATTGTGCGAGTGGAGCATGGAGATCTCGCACAGGAACCCTTTTGGATCAAGAGGAAGACATTACTGACTCTTGCTCACAGTTGATGCATCAATTGTGTAAAGATCAGAAATCATGCAAGGCTAGTTCTTTGACTGAGAACCTTAAGTAGCTTTTGGTGTAGGCTTGATTAGTCCAGTAGGAGCTTATTCCCTTGTCAATTTCTATACAGATTAATGTGAAGATTAAAGTTCTGACCGGTTCTGTTGACGGAGTTGTGGCAGCTGAAGCCAAGAAAGATCAAACAAACTGGGTGATACTGGATAAGTAAGTAATTTAGTTTTAATTTTCTTTGTACTTGTCCATGTACGTGAACCATATAATTTTCAGAGTTTTCATACTAGGCTAGTATTTAATAGTCATTTACTAAACGCAAGTATTCACTTTGTCTAAGGATGTTGGTTTCTCTCCAGAAAGCTAAAGGATGAGGCAAAATTCTGTATGGAGCAGCTTCAGTGCAATGTTATCATGATGAAAGGATCTCATCCCAAGGTTCTTAGATTAAATTTAACTGGATCAGGTGATGTCGAACCTGAAGTGATGCACTCACTGTCCACCATGTCTGAAGCGTCACGTGCTAATGATGCATTAGATTGCCTGAATACAATTCGGGTGCCAAATGTGACACCCACCAGTAGTCCAGAGCATGATACATCGTACACAGCAACTGATGCTGGAACATCATCTATATCAAGCTCAGATGCAGGGACTTCGTCTTATTTCCTCTCAGGAACGATTGAGGACCAAAGGAAAGCACTTTTATCTGTTGCTAGTGAAATTGATAATCTAGAGGATTCTGATACGGACAATGAATCAATGAGTTCAACAAGTTGTTGTCAGCCATGGATGCTGAATAGTCCTATCGTCGGTAGTGACAGCTTGAAATCTGACATAGATGGGTCACTTAGAACTACAGATCAGATACTGGCCCGTGCATCTATAAATCTGCTGAAGAGATTTTCAGTTGCTGAAATGCAAAATCCTAAGCATAAACTTAATTTAAACTCAACAAGCGTACGGGACGCTATCTCATTGTCCAAAAAGTCACCTGCTGAGCCACCACCACTATGCTCAAAATGCCAACATAGGACACCAACGTTTGGTAAACCTCCACAGTCATTCAAATACGCAGAGCTAGAAATGGCAACCAATGGATTTTCAGTCAATAATTTCTTGGCAGAAGGTGGGTATGGTTCTGTTTATCGTGGGGTACTACAAGACGGACAGTTAATTGCTGTGAAACAATATAAATTGGCTAGCTCTCAGGGAGATAAGGAGTTTTGCTCTGAAGTGGAGGTTTTGAGTTGTGCCCAACATCGTAATGTTGTAACTCTGATAGGCTTCTGTGTAGAAGGCGGAAGAAGGTTGTTGGTATATGAATATATATGCAATAATTCTTTGGATTATCATCTTTATGGTATGTTCGCAAATCCTTATGCATATCAGGCCATTTACTGAAAAGAGATGTGGACTGTTAGAGTTACGTGTATACAAAGTATTTACCTTTAAAGCGAGATGCTTAGAAATATCCCATTTTATTAATACTATTGTGATACAGTGAATAAAATAAGCAACCAGCCCTTTATCTAAACCTCTAATCTCAACTTATTATAGTGTAATTTGTTAGCTCTCCCGGATATATTGCACTTGAAATTGTCTTTACATGCTTTTGTACATTACAATGTCTAATAAAGTATCCTTTACATATATGTCGTGACATATTTTTGTTATACCTTGTTTCCGTGTGGCCTATCACATGTAACTTCAAAATGGAATTTACTTAACTTTGGGGTGTACAGGTCGTAGCAGCAATATATTAGAGTGGCCTGCGAGGCAGAAGATTGCTGTTGGAGCTGCTCGAGGACTGAGATACCTTCATGAAGAATGCCGAGTTGGCTGTATAGTTCATCGTGATATGCGACCAAACAATATCCTGTTAACCCATGATTTTGAACCATTGGTATGCTTCTTTCCATTAATATTTACTAGATTGTTTAGAAGAATTTTCCCATCATACACTTGCATAGAAGATTGTCAGTATAAATCATCACAAGTTGTTGATCAAGTATTCTGTACAGAGCTATATTGATCACCATTTAGAATTTGATGTATTCTATTTCCTCTTTTTCTTTCTTTCTTTTTTTTTTTTTTTTTGTTCAAGGATGCCGTGTCCTATATCTATAAGTTTCATAATTTTCTTGAACAAGCTAACTATGCACGATATATCTCTGATTAATAGGTTGGGGACTTTGGATTAGCAAGGTGCCAGCCTGATGGAGGTGTAGGTGAGGAAACTAGAGTTATTGGAACATTTGGGTAAGTTCAGTACTTCGGTGACAACTTCCTGTTATTATTATTAATAATTGCAAGAGATAGTTACATCCATGTTATATGCAGGTATTTGGCTCCAGAATATGCTCAAAGTGGTCAGATTACAGAAAAAGCTGATGTCTATTCATTTGGCATAGTGTTATTGGAACTTATCACAGGACGGAAAGCTGTAGACATAAATCGGCCCAAGGGAGAGCAATGCCTGACTGAATGGGTATGATTTTGATTTTCCAGGTATCTTATGATAACCCATGTCTCTCAAATGAGTAATAAAATTGCATTAATTGGATGGTCATTCAGGCACGGCGTGTAGTTAAAGAAGAGAATCTCAAAAAGTTGATTGATCCATGTTTGGGAAACAGCTATGTGAAAGAGGATCTTGTTTCTATGCTACATTGTGCCTCATTGAGCATCAGAAAGGATCCTGATTCGAGGCCTCGCATGTCTCAGGTTTGAAAGTCTGCACCATATTTTAGGATTTTTAGGCAATAAATATAATTCAATTTGAGTTCTGAAAGTCTGCACTATACTCTTCATTTCTTCAAACAACTGGTACAGTTCATTTTGAGCTCTTATGCCTCTCGTAAGCTAAGATCTAGCTTTTGTAATCTGGACTGGGGTTGAGATTTGAATCTAAAATTTGAATTTCAATTAAGTCATGAGTGTGTTAGGAAAAATAATCAAAGGGACGTGAAAATCACTGTCCTTAAAGTATTATTTGCCCCCACTAAGTTTGCACTTGGGAGATGGCAAAGATACTTCCAAGATTTCCCTAAGAACTAGTGTTTAATGACTGCAAAAATCAATACACACTCATGAACGTTGTTTCCAGAAATTTTACAGAGAAGAAAAAGAAAAGAACGTAGTTTAGTAAAAACAATCATGTTTTATTTATAGAGAAAAATACAACAGATAAGAAGATACAGTTTTTTTAATCTTATCTTCTTAAATCACCAACTGACACAATTATCCATAATTAACTTATTAATTACGAATTTATTTAAAAAAAAATAATTAAATAAATAAGTAATTAATTAATCTGTCAATTACTAACCGCGGCGCGTGCAGTCGTGCAAAGTGCTCTTGATATAAATAATATATATACCAACACTAAGCTCATGCACAATCTTTTCTCTATTTTCAAACACATAGAATAATGCAAGCATTATAAATATTACAAGTACATTTTATTTTGTCAACGTGGGAAACAAACAAATCATTATAATGTTGACATCATCAAAGTACACAACATTATAAAGCAACTCAAACTTTTCTAAAATTTCTATGTGGGATTACTCCTACACAAATTGTTAGAAGACTATCTAGGAAATATTTCAACAAAGATCATCCCTTGTTAACTTTCACAGAAATCTTCCATGTGTAAATCGCTTTATGCTGTTGCATGACATGCATAAATGCAACAGGTTTACATGAGGTTGGGCATTGTTTGGGTGGGATTGGGGGGAGGGGGGGAGGGGGGTCATAAGGAGCTGCAGGTGATGCCCTACTGTCAGAGATGAATGTATCATTGGTCAACATACAAATAGGATACGTCATTATTGGCTTAGTTAGCCGCATTGACTCTTAAAGATCATGCTCAGATAACCCAAAAAAAAAAAATGTTGGTTATTAGGAATTTGAAATTAACGCTAAAACGCTTTTTTTAGTTGTGCATTTTGGACAGATTTGTAATCAATCTAAATTTATAGATCAAACTGTAATTTGAATTTTTAATCCAACTTTCTAAACGAGCGATTGATTTCTGTAACCCCCTGTGAAAATTTAAAACCAGAAGCAATAGGCAATGTGCTTTATTGGGCTGGGAGGAATCAAACATGATCCCAAGTACCAAACTGTAAGGCATGTGAAGTAATAATTCCCAATGTAGGAAGCTCATTGTAGCTGAAGATAGTAGTAATGCCGGGGCCTGCTTGAAAGTCTGTTTACATACTCAACTTTTAGCCTATTGTTATGGTTATTTCACTGTTTTCAGCTAAATTTGGCATTGTAAAGTTAAACAGCATCCCCCCACACCCCCAACAACGTGTTTTGAATTAAAAACTACCATATCCTCACTCGAGTAAAATATTTGATCCCACAACTTGGGATGTGGAAGGCCAAGCCAACCATGATCTCCATGATTAATTTATCGTCATGTCCTGATTTATGTTTGCTTATCTTACTCCACATTGTTGACAATAAGTTGTTTATTAGGTTCTGCGGATGTTGGAGAGTGGCCACTCAAACTCAATGGGTTAATTTAAAGGCTCTAGATCCTGAACAATACTTCAGCAGAAGTCCTTGGCAAAGTAAATACCTTGTTCAGCTCTGAATTCACTTCGGACATGCACTGGAAGTTCTGTGCAAATGATGAACTAGTGCTAAGAAGCTGAAGAAATTTTGTTTGAAGCACCTCAGAATGACTATTAGTGCGAGTTCAACTCACAATGTCTGCAAACATGCAGCAATCTCCATGCAGAGCCACACAGAAGATGGAGACTTCATGCCAGATTTCTATGTTTTTTTAGTAGTGATATCTAATCTTCCTTATCTACCTCTTTCATACAAAGCGCGTTTGTAAACTAGTAGAGCCCATATGTGATATACTGTGGCACTGTGCTGTATAGGGTCATGCAGGCAAATTGAAGGTGTACAGATTTAATAAAGCAATCATGCACACATATTCTTGTATTATTTCATTACTCATTCCTTAATAATATAAAGATCCCTAAGGGGACTACTTTGCTTAATTTTGTAGGATAATTTTGCCCTATATATTTCTAATAAATACAAAAGCTCATCTAATTAAAATTTTCATGTCATGTTGATCTCTTTTAGGCTTATTGACCCTATACTCTTATAAACATTTTTTCATTGTTGTGACATATAACACATATTGACGTATTTAAATGATCTTCTTGTTGTTGAGCTTAAACTGTTTGATCTTTAATTGTAAAATTCAAAGTAGAGTTTTCTCAACTTTTTTTATTTTACGCTTAATTAACATGAAAATTTCTTAACTTATTTTGATAAAATTAGTCAAATTACAATGAAACAAACAAAGGCTAACTTTTATCTAACCCTTTCTTTTTATTAGTGGAACTCGTGGACTTGTGGTCCACTAATCAAGGTATAAACTAAATATTATTGCATATAAAGTATTGGCTGAATATGTCATCCGGTTTTACTGTAAATCCACCTATCCAATACATAAGGTAAAACTAGTGCATGGACTATCCTATTTCAATTCTCGCTCTGTATCTAAATAAGTGAAACATTTTGACTTTTTGCAATATTCATGTAATTCACTTTGACTAATATTTGTGATTAATACATAATAACAAATATAGTCTTGTTGTACTTGTTGAAACTCTTTCAATGAATAGTTTGTTAATATTCAATTGTTATAATTTTATTTATTGATAATTAAAAATATTACTAGTCAAAGTTTTGCATTGACATACGTATATAAGAGAAACGTTTCACTCATTTAAATAGGGAGGGACTAGCTTATAGCCTTATACTAAAGTTTTCAAAAATTTATACATATAAAATGTGCTGATGTGTTAAAAAAAAACTCGTACTTTCTCTATCCCAAAATGTCTAACTCATTAGAATTTTTTTCACTATTATATATTAACTTTAATTATTGTTTTTTTTATTAACATGATAACAATATATTTTATTTTAGGTTTTTAAATAGGTATTGATATAAACTTTTATAATATAATTAATTTTTATTAATATTTACTTATGTAAAAATAACTCAATAAGAGCACTCCCAGCAGTGAGGAGAAAAGCCCTCACGAGTAAAAATAAGGGTGTTAAAAAAAAATCCGAACACTACATCAGTGAGTGAAAAAACACTCACCGATGAGTGAAAATAAAAACCCTCAAGTGTTGAGGGCTTTTGGTGATGAACAGTAACATGTGGCCCCCACTGCTTTTGTTGTTTTTTTACAACGGTTATATTTTGTATTTGAAATATAACCGTTGTAATTATTTTTAAAAAAAAAAAAAAATTCACCAACGACCATAAAATTTTTTTCTCTATAAATAGACATGCATTTTGATATACTTTCAAAAAAACCCATAAATTAGAGAAATTAACATATTTTTCCAATTTCTTCTTGTTATTATTATTATTATTTCTTATAAAAAAAATTTCCAATTAGTATTATTAATATTTTTAAACGTAATTATAAATTTTTATTAAATTATTTTTAAACGTAATTAAAAAATAAATTAAAAAATAGTGGAGGAGAAAGTGATGAGAGGTTTTTTTTCTCCTCATTGCTGTGGTGAAAAAAACATTTGATGAGAGAAATTGTATGGGAGGAGTGAGAAAGTGGGTAGAGAGAGATTGAGAGGGTTTTTTTTTTCCTCACTGCTGAGAATGGTCTAAGGTCAAAGCTTTATTTTTAATTTTAAAATTCTGTATTGTCACTTAAAAAACATTTGAGGAGAAGAAAAAGAAAGATAGTAACGAGGGAGATTGACTGAAAAGAGCAAAAACACAACCAAAATCTGCAGACTTGAAAAAAAAAATAAAAAATGAGGTGGGTTTGCAAACCTCGCAACATCAACACACTTCCTACATCACTGCTCCAACTTCCTTCACTCTCCTTCCTCAGACTTCTCTCCAGTAAACTTACTCACTCTAACTTCATCAACAAATCCTGATTTCTGGGTTCTTCTTTTTCCTAAATTTCTAACATTTTTTGGGGTTGCTTTGATTGATTTACAGATGCAGCAGCAGATGCTTTGAACCCTACTTTTGTCCACCCAACTGCTATTGTTCATCCCAATGCTACTCTTGGTCAGGTTGTTTTTCAATTATTTTTTTGTTTTATTATTAAGTACAATATATGTTATTATACTCTCGCCATCTCTAAAAGTTTTTTCGTGTTTGGAAGAATTTTTAGAAACGGAGGGAGTACCCGTTATGGAGAATTATCGGATTAATGGAGGATGCTCTTTTTTATGATTGATGGCAGGGTGTATCAATTGGGCCGTTTTGTACAGTTGGGTCGTCAGTAAAACTTGGCAATGCCTGTAAATTGTATCCTGGGAGTCACATTTTTGGATTTTCTCAATTGGGTGATAACTGTATTCTTATGACGTTAGTATTTATTTATTTCTTTTCTGACGGTTTTTTTTTGTGATTACTAGGTTTAAACCCGTGCAATGCATTGACTAAAATATGTAGTGTAGTATTAATGTATGCTTTTTTTTATTGTATGGTGATTTTCTTTTATTGCTTAATTGAAAATGTTTGGTGGAATGTCGGTAGTGGTGCTGTGGTTGGTGATGATCTTCCTGGGAAGACTATGATTGGATCAAACAACATTATTGGACATCATGCTATTGTCGGAGTAAAGTGCCAAGACTTGAAATATAAGGTGTTTATTTGTTAATTCTTAATGTTGTAACAATATTGGAATTGGTATTGCATTTTTGGACTCAATGTGCCTTGATTTTTCCTGAGTTCTGAAGTCCGATTATATTTCTTCGTACATGCTACTAAAGTTTATGACTATAAGGAATAATCACTTTTGGATCATGTAGCCGACCCCGCTTATGGGATTAAGGCTTTGACTGATTGATGCTACTAAAGTTTATGTATATGTATGATATGTATGGTGAAGCCTAGATTAAGATGTTTGTTTAGTTAAGTTGTTTATACTTGGTTTTTCATATTATTTTAGTTTGGAGATGTTTCGAGTGTTGTGACGCCTTAGGTGGTGATGATTGTCAGTAATTTTACAAAGGATTAGTGGAGGGTCTTCATGATAGAATCAAGAATTATGAGATTCAATAGTTCTGAAATTAGTGTGCAGTAGATTCTGGTAATGCTTTACGCAAAGAGCATTTTAAAGTACTAAAATATCTAAAAGAAGCATCATATATTAAGCATGAAAATTGTGATTTCAGGAAATTAGTAGTGGATGCGTCGTTGTATACCATGACTATATATATATATATTTAGTTTTCATCTATAAAAATGTTATGGAAAGTAAACCTTCATCATCCAATTTTCAACTAGTGATCTTATTTTCTAAAATCTGTAACAGCATTGTCTGCCATGAATTCAACAAAGGCCTTCAAGCCCTATGCTATTGTTAAGAAAGACAATTTGTGAATAGGATATTGAACTTGTTTTGAAAATTATATTTCAAATTAGAGTCAGAATTAGGCTTATAAATATCACATGATAGTCCTAATTATCAAAACTATATTCAGTCGTGATTTACTCCTTTCAATTTTGGATTGAGATTTGGAGACAAAGGAGTATGACACCCCTTTTGTAGATCAGGTCAATCTTTAATCTTTAATTGTTAATTAAAGAAATTTTCAGTAAAGCAGTCTTTGCACTGTGATATCTGTTGCATGCATGAACTTTGTTTTTTGGTTAGCCTTGTATTGCCAATTTTTTCATTGCTCTTACCTGCGAAAATGCAGCAGGAACAAAAGATGTGACACTTATGACTTATCCTTCTACATAATTTCAGGATGGGGATGAATGTTTTCTTGACATTGGTGACAATAATGAGATAAGAGAATACAGCTCTGTTCATAGATCATCCAAGCCAGATGAGCAGACGGTGTGGAGTGCAACTTTACTTCAATCACAGACATTTTGTTTTGATTGCCTTGCTATTTTATTCACACTTTGTTCATGACTACAGATCATTGGTCATAATAATCTAATTATGGGATCCTGTCATGTTGCTCATGACTGCAAAATTGGTAACAACAACATTCTGGCAAATAATACCTTGTTGGCAGGACATATAGTAGTAGAAGTGAGTTTATCGTCTAATTTGATTTTAATTATTTTCATTTCGTCCTGTATTTCATACAAAGTATATAAATTCAACAGTTTCATTTTACTTTGTCAAAATACCTGAATTAGGATTACATTCACACTGCCGGTGCAGCTGTTGTCCATCAGTACTGCCACCTTGGCTCATTTTGTTTTATTGGTGGTGGCTCAGTGGTATGTATTTTATCCCTTATTCAAAGATATTGATCTTTAAGCTTATAGTAAACGTTAGACATAGAACATAGGGTGTTAAAAACTAGTTGAAGATACCTATCTGGTTTTCTTGATGCATTTTAGCCCTTTCATCAGCTACACTATGCCTTAACAAGAGCGTGCATACTTGTAGTTATCCCAAGATGCAGTTTCTAATACTTGTATCCTTCTAAGGTTACTCAAGATGTTCCAAAATTCATGATGGTATCTGGTGACAGAGCTGAGCTCCGTGGCTTGAACTTAGAAGGCCTGCGACGTCGTGGGTTCTCTGCCACAGAGGTTAGTTAGGTTTGAGGTTTTTAATTAAAATCAGTACATGTGTATGTTAAAATTTTATTACAGATTTGGTGCCTCTGCCTAAGAATGAACTGATGTTACAAAAGCAATAAAACCTTCCATAATTTTATCTGTGTGACCAGTTTAATATGTTGCTGATTTCAGTACATTCCTATGGCAGTTGTTGTAAATGGTAAATTAGTTTGCTTACTGATACTGGGAAAAAAAGCACTTTTTTTTTTCTAAACAAACATTTTACTGATAAAAAATTTCTTGCAAGCTAGCTTCATTCTTGTTTGCTAGGCCTCGTGGAGATCTGATGTATGTAGCTCGATTAGTTTCTTTATATGAGCATGTGGAACATCTTGCTGTCTATTTCCTGGCATCATTTCTCACGTTGTGGTTAATAAATTTCGTGACAGCATTGAGATAATAGTTTTCTTTTCTAGGTTTATGCTGTCTGGTATTTGAGTAAAATTTTATATCATTAGTTATCACAATAGTTTGAATCTTTCAGAACAATAATGAATGTAAATCATCCCACTTGGCAAGGATCTAGATTAAGGGCTTGCGAGCTGCCTACCGCAAGATTTTCATGCCTACTGACACTGAATCCGGGAGCATTGAAGATCGTCTCAAAGAATTGGTAATTTTCCTCCCTATTTGGGCTATTTCTGAATCGATTAAAACTTTAGCGTGCCATTAACTGATAACATTTTCACAGGAGCAGCATGAAGAACTGGGTCAACTTCCTGTCGTATGCTCCATGATGCAATCTATACATGATTCCTTTTCTGAGAGTCGTCGCGGAATATGTAAATATAGACATTGGAATGCATCTTGAATTTATTCTTTTCCCTATAATTCATGGTGAGCTAGTTCTTGGGATTAATTTTTCTGCTTCAATTTAAAGTATAATTATCAATTCTTTCAAGCATCTGCTTGCTTCAGATTAAAGTTCTTCTAGGGAATCAACACAGACCATAATTCTTATTCTGTCAAAACTAACCACATCATAATCCAATAATGCACCATATCTCAAAAACATTTATTTTTTTTTAGTGTTACCTATCCAGAAGATCTTAGCATGCAATCTGAATTTCTGTTTCTTTGTGGACTACAATTATTCTAACTCTAATGATCTAATCTGATTTCTGGGACTTCCTAATCTGCAACATCCTGCATAACATCTCAATTTTGACAACTTTGTGTAAGAATTTTGCTTTAGAAATAGGACCTCAGAGTAGTACTCCATTAGTCCATTCATCCCCAAATTAAATGGCCAGAGGACGACATATAACCTGTATTGTATCAGAAATAAACTGTCAAAGTTTAGAAAAATTTGTTACTAAAAGGCAAAAGTAAAATGTAGCCTATCATTTTGGGATGGATTGAGTAATATATGCATGTAATACATGTTGATGCCTTGATTTGTAATATCTCAAAAGTCAACATTACAACCTTTATTTTGTAAATGTCTTTTATATTGTTTGTAAATTGAGCAAGGTGATGAGGTCATAGTTTGCTCAAGGAACTTCAATTTGCATTATTATTTGACTTTCAATAATATTCTGTGGAGAATTATTTGCCACATTGTCTCAATCCCTTGTATTTAAGGATGTGAGAAAATTTAATCTAAAAAAGCCCTCTATAATAGTTGAATTATTCCCACATTGCATTACTCTACCCTAGTAAGATATTACTATATTTCCTTCGCTCTATTAATATTGCAACAATGGACTTTTTGCACTATTCATCACTCTTGTTTGACCATATAATATGATTTATACGTTAAGCAAATTATATTCATGTGGGATCTTGGTAGATTCGTCTCATAAAATACTTTCACAATATCAACTTTTTATAATTTTTACTCTTATATAATTATAGATATTTAGCATATAAAATGTGCTTTGGAATGCGTAATTTTATCCTTGTTACAATATTAATAGAACGGAGGAAGTATATTTTAGATATGTCAATCACCAACCACCATCTTAGGAAATGTGATGGCTTTTTCTTCAATGTATAGTTTTTTTAAATGCATTTGAGCAAGTAGTGATACTTGATTGCTTGTTATTTTCCAGGAATTCTTTCTCGGTGTATCTCTTTGGACCGTGTGTTGCCTGGGAAAGTCTTCCACAGACATGCGTCTCAGCAGGTTCTGATAAACATATTCACCCTTGCTGCCTAAGCATTAGGATGGAGCTGTGTAGGACAATGAAAGCATATTGAGACTTCTCAAGGAGATGCTAATTTTTGAGTAGTTGCAGATAAAAGATAGCAGTATTTTTGTTGATGTAAGTTGTAACTGCTTGTAAGTTGACACACTGATTTTTGGTTAGGAGATAGAGAAATAAGACAGAAAGTGGATTATCTGGTAAATGAATATGACAGCAGCTTTGTACCATTTTCAAAGCTGGTAGAGTAGTGACCAACTCTGTACTATAATTTACAGCTGTGTTCTGGATTTATGCATCATTTTTTTTGGGTAGCTGGATTTTGTATTCAAGTGGTGAATATGTCTTTGTCATAGCCAAGATTACATGTACATTGTACACTAATTAGTAATTACATGGTAAACTTTCTATTATCTCGCCGACTTGAAAAAAATGAAAGCTTTATGAGTCTTTGGTGAGCTAATAGAAACGAAAACATATACGGAGTAATATTCTATGGACACTAATGTACATAAATCTTGATAAAATTGGTGTAAACATAATTGATAAAATTGGGTATACTCCTCTTTTGTACAAGTCTATGTGCACTAAAACTGTTTGACTTCATAACGAGTATACAAGCCGTTTGACTGAGGAAGTAATATATCAAGCTGATAGCCGTTTCTTTTTAGACCTTGGTGAAAAGAATTGGAGACGAGACAGAAAAATAAGATCATTCTGAGAGTTCAAGCCAGGGGAGGCTAATTTGAAGAAAATATTACAGAATTTCTCAAATAATACACTAACAAAGAAGATCAGCTTTGTTTCTTACACAGATCACCAACAAAATTGGTGAACCAGGCATATACAGCAATAAAGTATATTAACTCGGTGAAAATAGGGAACAATATTACTCAAAATTATGTTCAAATTTGAAACGTATCTAAACATATCACCCAAATTTCCGCGGGCATAATACGGTTTTCCTTTGCATTATAACACCCATACCATTTCCCAATTACAAAAGATATCTAAAAACCCTAACCATAACATGAAAAGGAATCATATAAAAGCTATACACACGAGATTAACAAAAAAGAAAAAAAAAATACGAACATCACAACCACCACCACCACTAAACAAATCACCAAATATTCCAAAATAGCAGAACCTTCATGATTGTGAGATTCCTATATAATAATACCCTTTCACACAGGAATAACGTCGATCTTTGAGGTGTCTTCACATCTCAAGACAATACCTTCTAGGTTGGCAGGGAGTATGCACTTAGACCACTGGCACCCTGTTGGCAATGGCTCAGGAGGAGGAACAATCATTAGCACATTATCATTTCTTTGTACAACCCCCATCACACTCACGGTACTACCTTCTTTGATGTACCTATCATAATAAAATAATACCAAACATGTTACATAGCTCCAATACAGAGACGCTCAAATAATATTACTTCCTCCGTTTTTTTATTATTGCACCATAGAGGTTGGGTGCAAATATTTTGGTAGTGGAAAAAAGTAAGAAAGAGAAAGGTAAACATACAAAATTGCCCATGTGACATATTGATAAACTAAAAAGTAAGTGTGAAAAAACAAGGGTATGTTGGGTATTTGTAGTGTGAACACAAATAATTTTTTTCCTAAAGAGGAAATGGTGCAATATTTGTGAAACTTCCTAAAAAGGCAAGTGGTGCAATAATAAAAGAACGGAGGAAGTATATATTTTGCAAAATGACAGTTTGAGTGTTTAAGCTATTTTTGTCATTGATACTCCGTATAAAAAAAGGATTTATTGAAGTAACAGCAGCAGGTATAGGGTCCGAATAAACCACTAGTCAATTTTAAAGTAATACCCTAAATTTCAGAGTAGTTCAAAAATGTAACACCCTCTGAATAAAGCATTTATGAAAATAGGTACCTACCCTTCTTTCAAACGCATGACACGGTCATCACTAGAGAGGTTCCTTTCAGATATCCACCGAACAAAGTCAGGTGACATATCTTTGTTTGATGGATTGATATCAATGACAACAGATTCATCAACATATGGAGTCACTCTAGCACCATAGCCCGTCTTGACCAGAGCCCTTAACCCAGATTGGAAATCAGAAATGTAGAAATCAACCACATGCCGCTGCAATGACAAATCAAGTTCAGAATAGATTAAAAAAATTTAACATGTATTGCTATTCAAAATCGTTCATATGTTCTTAAGCCAAGATAGATGCTGACTGAAACAAAGAATATAATCTGGCATCAATGCCATGATAAAAAGCATACTGCAAATAAAATCACAACAATTTTGCACAATTTAGAACCTCTGATAAGAGAATTTATGTCACAAAAGAACACAAAGCATTTGATCTGTGCATTCACACACTCACGTCAGTCTGCAACTTTATTTGCAAACAAAGCACAGAAGGGGCGTAGAATTAGAATTGGTTCAGTTTTCAGTTGAGTTTAAAACAAATCAGGAGAGAATGATAATCAAGACAGCTTGTTCCCTGACTGGATATCATAGCTGTTTGAACAAAAACATGCACAGTAGAGGCACTAGCACTAACCAGCTTTTATCTTAATCTTACAGAAACTACCTTAATTACACCTTATTCACAACTAGCCAATATGCAAATGGAAGCCTGGTCATCACTAGTTAAATTCTAGGGAGAAAAAAGAGAACAAGTTCAATGACTACACCAAGTTTGTTCTAATTCTAAGGCTTTTCCATCAATGGCAAATGCTGTAATTTGAACTCTAGTTTAGCTTCACAATTTCTTTAGAGAAGACTACCGGAAATCCATATAATTCAAAGAAAACAAAGGTTTACTTGCACAGCCTAACATATAACTGCCAAAAAAAATATAAAAAAAATGTTGATAGACACTTTTTAACAAACAAACATTTGGAAGAAGATGTGCACAAAAATAGGCTGGTGCTAACTGCTAATTCACTTTACTTCCCCACTAAATATATAGAGTTCTGATACAAACGCAAGAAACACAACTCACCTTGAATTTTCTACAAACCCAATATATAATGCAGGCACCTTCAACGAAATAATCTACATCAAAACCAATCAGTTGCAAAATAAAGTATTTGAAAATAAAACGAGCTTCAGATTTTTTGTTTTTAACAAACAATGAGTATATCTTCTAAAAGTAATTACTAGTATTTCAGATCTTTTTTCGTCACTAAATATTGGGTATATATCAGATCTTCCAATGTTTCACTAAGTTATAGTCAAGAATTGTGAAAAATAAAAAGGCAGCACATAGTAGGAGAAAATAACTTCTCAGCATCTACCTAAAGATACATGAAATATTTTAGTATTCTAGAATTGGAACTAGATTACTACTCCCTCAATCCAAAAAAAAAATTCAAACTTAGGTTTTACAAAGATGAATACATTGGAGAGAGAAAAAGCGGCAGAATTTTTTTATTGAGACTTGAAATGGGAGGAGGGGTTTTTTTTTTAGACATTTAGATAAACAGTAGCATGCAAATTAGGTGTATCATAATTTACTATGGAATCGTTAACCTGATAACCTTTCTTCCTATGGAACTACAAACCCAATTCATAAACTATTAGATATGCCCTCAATCAGAATCTGGATTGACGGTGATGCCAACAAGCAAGTTAGAGCAACCCTGGGATCAACATTAGCATTAGTTCAATGAAGTAGCACCAACTATTTCAATCGTTAAGTTCAAGTCAATACCAGGAAACACAATTAAGTCTATTAATATGAAATAAAAAATAATAAAAAACGCAAATGGCTTGAACTTTAGCAACATAATAGACACAAGGGGATCCGTACAAATGTGCAAAAAAAGGGTTCAATAGTTACCACGCAAAAAAATTGTCAATCCTCAAACCATCAAAAATCATGCAGCGGCTTACAAGGCCACATGAAGCCCACAATCCTGGAGGGTGTTGAAAGTATAATTCTCCATATACACACAATAGCCAGATTTTTCTATAATTCTATACCTAAGGAAAGCAGTGAAGAAGCTAAGGAAACAAATTAAAAGGTCAAATAAGAAAGATGTTATCACCTCTAGCGATCTGAGGCCCCACGTAAAACGCCGATGACTGGGGTTAGCAGCTTTTGAATCCCAACCTCGATACTCAAATAAGCTAGTTGATGTGTAGACACACCGTGGAACCTTTTGGAAAGACGACTCAAGAGGTACATTTCCACATGTTACCACCTTCACAATAGCATGATTAATTTAGTTAGAAAAACTAATTTAAACAATGCCAACTGAAGCATAAAACAGCATATATTTTTCATGAGATATTGAACTTCTCACAACAGCAAGAATTTCAGAATCAAAAACAAAACACAAAACAGCAAGAGCTCAAAAACTCTTAAAGTTCTGTTTAGATAGATTTAAAATACTTGGAAAAAACTGTATTCAATACATAAAAGCTATCAAACAGAATCAGCAACAAAGTTAACTCAAAAGGAAAACCACATGTTGAAAAGACTTTTGATTAGCCTGCAGACATCATAACTGAGATCGGTTGACAGTTTGTACTTTATCAATCACTCATCCTTCTTTTTATTCTTCAGTTTACTCTATTGTTCAGTTCTTTTCTTCAGGTTAGACGTTTTCCCCAAAATTTACTAAAGAGAAAACAATGTTCCCTTCCACAGCTTCACCTGTCATACTGCTTTGTATAATTACAATAGTACACCCTTTTCAGCAAGGAAAATACAATGCTAACTGCATAACTTAGAAGTATACCATACGTCCCTAACTTTCATTCACTCTAATGTGCTCAACAAACATGTATCTTTAAAGAATACAGTTTCTGACAAAAAAAAAAAAAAAAAAAAAAAAAAAACCACCATAAAGTATATTCCAATCACTAACTAGTAAAATATCTAAAAATCCACATCATGTCATACTCATTAAAGCAAAATTATCAACACTATGTATCCCTTTAACTAAAGAGCCAAAATACATTCTTGTTTAGCAAAACAAATCTAATGCCCATCCTAAGTTACATTCAAGAATATCAAAAGAAAATACTGCGGTTTTAGTTCCCAAAAATAGAAGTCCGTGTACCAATGCTGACAACACGCAAAAAAATAATGATAAAAAAAAGATAGCTTTTTGTAGCATTCAGATAGATCTCACATACCCCAGAAACTTTGACAAATTGACCATCTCTCGCTGTTCGAAGCTCTGCATCTGGGTATTGAGCAATAAAGCCTGTGATAGCTCTCCTTCCCCAGAATGTGTTCCATGTGAAGACAGCAGCAACAGCACTAAAAAGCACCACCACGACAATGAGAAGAATTGGATTGTGCACAGCTCCAAGAATAAAACCACCAGCAATAAAACCCATCACAAACAAAA